TCACTTTGAGACAGATTCTTATGTCCTGGTTCATGCTTTCGTAAGTTGAGTTGCAATGTCAATTCCGTCGTAGCTTTCAGCAGAAAATTTCTTCCTTGATATAACGTTTGATGATTCATCGTTGAGATAGCTTTGAACTGATTGATGATGAATGGAACTAAAAGTGCCATTAATCGATGAATCAGAGATCAAAGTAAGATGTGAAGCTATAAGAGCAGGGATCGTAACGTACAAAAGTGAACGTCTGTTCTACGTGTCTAAACTGAGACTTATCTGAGAAATTTAGCGACACCGCACAGAGGTTTTCACTTCGTAATAAAGCTTAAAATTATTTATCACTGGAGGAGTTTCTTTGGTAAATTAGCATGCTTAAAGGTACATCCTGACGTGAGAGAAAAACAATGGTATTGGTACCTGAGCGTAATTATGTATGACCTTGAGTGTTCACTTAGAAAGACTCTTAATAAACATTAAACAAAGAAACAAAACTGGACGAAGGTACTGTAATACCTAATTTACTTTAAAACTGCTAAAAGAAGAACCAAAAGACAAACCTCACTTATTTTAAATGTATAAACACTTGGTATCGCTCAGAAAAACCTTGAGCGAAATGGACTCATATCCGTAGAATTAGAAAAGTAAAAAGGCTGTAATGCCAGAAAAATGTGAGCTTCACACTCTTGAATGGATTCAAGATCACATAATTTTAGTGAAGCGACTTTAAATCGCTTGATTTGAACCAAAAATGAAGAGAGAACAATGAGAGAATAGCATGATGAGGTTTTGAGTTCTAAGATTGGATATTCAGAATTCACTTCACAATGAGGCGATAGACTTCTGCTCCAGGTTGTAAAACACGATGATAATGATTGTCACAAACATCGTTGAAGTCGTACCTAAATGGATTGAAATCATTGAAACCAAATGATTTCATATTGTCTCGATCGTCCTTGATGTCCATGAAATAGGAACTAACCTAACATTCGTGATTTGTTTTGTTTTGTTGTTCCGCTCGTGAGTTGATGACGTTGATGACTGACTGCAGAGAGCACTAACACTGTTACTCTACCGTGTGTATGTGTTAGTGAAGTCGGGTTTCATGATTTTCGAGTTGCTGTCCAAGATACAGCCTAAACGGTAAAAGTAAACCCCAACTTATGTATAATTTTTGGAATCCTCATATCTTCAAGATGATTCCAGGAAATAACCATAACTTCATTCCAGAATAGTGTAAGCGAGAAATTCAATGATAAGCGTCGGCGGGTCGAGTCGCCCATTGCATCCGAAAAGCAGTTTAGACGCAATATTTTTCTTAGGATGCCTTGGATATTAATGAAACTTAAATGCACACTACACGGGAACAAGACAATTCTTTTGATATAACATTATATAGGGCTCTGATGTCGCGTATTCTCCATAGCTTTGTCCGAACGTGAAAATGGTCAAGTTGGATACTTTTCGCTTTTTTAGGCACATATGCGTAATTATTTCTTTTAATAAATCATCAACCTCCTTGAAACTCAACAGTTCGTTAGACGGGATCAAGACGCATCTTTAGACACCAAAATTTCTAAAATCCGTCGCTCCGTTGCTTTTAAAAGTTTACCGGACCGCAACTAAAAACCCAAATAAGCCAAGTTCGTGTAACTATGGTGTCGTTGCCTCGACCGGGCTGTGCTGTGTTGCCAATTGTTGGAGGATAGGTTACTTGCCCGGTGGTGGCTACCGCCACTCATGATTTTAGCCCCAAAAATACCTTTAAATCGACTGTATCTTTCAGGAGTTGGACAGAATTTTTCCTTTCTTTGCTTAAATTATTACGTAGCACTTTTCTTTAAGAATCTGATAAGATATTGCTGGGGGCAGATCAAAAAACTTAAACTCGTTCGAATGGCTTTCTACATTCACAATACACGGTCTCGTCAGAACGCGTCGTTGAAGTGTTGGATCGTACGAATTCTCTCGTTGTGCTACTTGCCTATTTTGAAATCTCTGTGGATGAAAACTAAAGGGGTTGATATGTGTGAGTTAATGACGCGCCTTATTATCAACACCTTGTGTTGGAGTTTACTGCTTGTTTGTAGTTGTTCGGACTTTTTATATTTTCAAACCTACAGATATGTACTTAATAAACACTGTTTTTGGAACTCCGTTCCTACTCGAACCTATAGAAGTCATAAATGGTTTATTTTTTGAAGAAAACTGTACCATGGAACGTAAACAGGGTTCACCCCGCTATTTTTTTAAAAAAACAAAGAAAAAATTTGTTGTTGAGAGAGAAGGTTAGTCTTAAATTACAAGCAAAGGCTGAATTACCTTAGACAATAATTCAAATCGTCAAAGCTCTCCACACGGGATGAGAGACAGCATAGTAACATTGAACATTAAAAAAAAGCTTTATTTCATCATCCAGTTTGACCTCAACCTACCAGTCTCATGGGATTTACATCCTATAAATAAACTTGTGGGTGTTCTGCTTTATTTTCAGCATACATGCCAATGTAGTAGGAAGCATATATGTATAATTTTAGTCAAGCATTCCAAGGCACAGTCCCTCCTATTCCAAGGTGGGTACACCACCGTCTTTTATCTTGAAACGATTTTTGGGAGTTTTTAAAAAAACCCAAAAAACCACCTCAAAATTGTCGGACCCAAATGCAAATAATATATGTTATTAAGAACCCTTAGTAGTAAGCCATCGTAGTAAAAACTACGGAAAAGGGTCTTCAAAAAAAAAAGGAAAATCATTCCGAGGTAAAGCCTCTTCCCCATAGGGAAAAATGGATTGCTGATTTGACAATTAAATTCTTAAAAAAAAGGCCGACATGCTTCAAATGTACATTTTACAATAGTGGAAAGTTAATGTAACCACGGGGGTGGTTGGATTAGCATATTTTTATTGTAAAATCTACATCGCAATAAGTCGGATACCTTTTTTGACCACAAAATTATTAAATCAGCAATTTCATTTTTTCCGTGCCAACAATAATAGGTAGGTACGGTAGGTAACATGTTGGCATGGAAAAAATGAAATTGCTGATTTAAAAATTTTGTGGTCAAAAAAGGTATCCGACTTATTTCGATGTAGATTTTACAATAAAAATATGCTAATCCAACCACCCCCGTGGTTACATTAACTTTCCACTATTGTAAAATGTACATTTGAAGCATGTCGGACTTTTTTTTTAAGAATTTAATTGTCAAATCAGCAATCCATTTTTCCCTGTAGAGAAGAGGCTTTACCTCGGAATGATTTTCCTTTTTTTGAGCTTGGAAGTTGATTTCAGAAAAAACCAGTGGCACCATCGTGTTTCTCGCGAACTTTTGCATAAGAATCAACTATCAAATCGCAAATGGACCACTAGACAAGGCACGAATTCAAGCATTCTGATACATGTTTCCTGACCAGAATTTCACGTAGAATGCGATTCGCGCAATGAAAATTACTGAAACCAACTCCTAAAGAAGATATTAACCTTTTTATTTCACATTGGTTACGCGGATTTTGAACTGCCCGCTCACGAGAAACTCAAAGCTCTACGTGAGTCAATTTGAGCACTACAACGGTTTCAGCGAGCCTCTCAATCGAGCAATGTCCATTTCCTTCCATGCATGTGTTGTTCAAACTATAAGCAATTTGCTATAGCTGAGCCAAAGCGTCAAGATTGAAGTTGCCAGATGTATATACTGCAAGAGACTGTCATGATAACGTTTAGCGCGCGATGTGAATCACGCAGAGCATTGAGTTTTCATGAGCGGGTGGTTTCAATTCACACATCAAGAATCATTAAATGTCTTCGTGAGGAGTTGATTTCGATAATTTTCGTTGTGCGTATCGTGTTTTACGTGAAATTTTAATTAAGAAACATGTATCAGAATGCTGAAATTCGTACCTTGTCTAGTGGTCCATTCCTCACACACGCAACAGCTCCATTTAGCCTATCCCATGCGTTCCACATAAACTCAACGTCTAGGACCCCCCCCCCCCCCCCNCCCCGTCACTATACCGTGAGAGCAAGGCGTCGCAAGGTTTTGTGACCGTCAAATTCGCATTCCTTTAAGTCGATTACTTGGGAAAATACCATTACCCCGAACCCCTACATCAACTTAGTGACCTAACATTCAATCGAGGGGGGCTTTGTCCCCCACCAACTTTAGGGGTCAGCGCTATGTTCAGGGATGGGCCGATTTTTGACTTCTTGGTATCGAATTCAGTTGTTGCATTCCGTACTTTCTGATTTTGATTACTTCAATAATTTAAAAATTTAGACAGAAATCCTGAGTTTCAAAGCCAGGAAGCCCCTCTTACCTCCTTAGGCCTTGTCTCCACGGGACGTTTTCATGGGATTTGTCCCAAGTTCGAATCGCAGGATTGAAACTTCTGGGATTTTTCCCAGTTACCGTCTCCACGGGACGGGGCTCATACAGTCCTGCGACTAGTTTGCGCGGGAATATAAATTAGTTAAAGTCGAGTATTTAACCGGGATTAAAATGATAATTGCACTCAATTGACAATTAGACACATTATTTTAACTAAACAAACATGAACAATGTAGTAATGAATAAAATATCGCACAATTCGTTTTCACTTCTTCTTCTTCTCTCAGTGGGTCCTAGGAGTGCAAGTACCATACTTGGTACTGGGAAAAATATTGATTAACTCAATATTTTTCCCAACTTCGTAAGTGGGATTTTTCCCTGGGACAAATCTCGTGAAACGGCTCGTGGAGACAAGGCCTAAGGGGACCCGCGGGGGCTTCGTGATGATGACTGTTCGTCTCCGCTGTCCTCTCGCCTGACCTTTAGGTAATGACTGAGAAAAAAAAGTCCAGTACGCCAGGTTTGAGAACAGGTAGGAGAGGTTGATTTTCGATTTCAGTACTTGACATGAGTTTCGAAACTCAGATTGCTTCTTTCAGGGCTACATACTATAGGCTTTTTTTTCCTTCGAAATCAATAATTATGAGAAGCTTTTATTGATTTGCTTAGAAATTTGTCACCTTGCGTCCTGGGATTCCCATAAGGCCAGCTCTACCAATTTCTCCAGATGGTCCACGTTCACCTCTCTTGCCATGAATACCGTTTTCTCCCCGATAGCCAGTGTCACCTCGATCACCCTGTGGTCCTGGTGGTCCAAAAAGCCCTGTGAGACCAACGTCACCTCGTTCGCCTTTTGGACTAAAACAGATAGGTATGACATGTAGAATCATAAAAAGAAGTACTTTAACCAGACTAAAATGTACAATTGTAGGAACCAAATTAAGATGTGATTTCTCCCCGAAACATATGTTCCAAATTTTCGAAATAAGCAAAACATAATATACGTAGTATACAAATTTAATGAATACCATGAATGGGAATTGTCTTATTAATATTACGAAAAATCGTAATTTTACGAGCTGCGCAGCGATTAGAAAAAAATGTCGATGTCCTTGAGAACTATGAAGTTGAACTGTTCAGTATTTATGCTTCTTCGATTAAAAACCTACCTAAATCGTGAAAATCCTGGTTCTCCTCTCAACCCCTTGGGACCAACATTTCCCCTCCGTCCATCCATACCGGGGGCTCCCGGAATACCTGGCTGGCCTGGAATCGATGGACCTGCAAACAAAAATTGTAAGGATTAACATTGCTTCATGGACGACTTGACTCATTGAAAACGCCTTATGAAATTTACGGACTTTTAAAACTCCGATGACACTTGACCTGAGGATACTTAAATCCCTACGAACGAAAAGCAATGATCTGATTATGAAACATAATCAAGTATTGTCGGCAATAACATTTCAAAATATATGACCACGGAAATGTCCAGGCACTACAAAAAATAACAATTTCCGATTTTTGCAAGAAATTCGCGAGTGTGACCTCTAAAAAACGGGGCACCTTGCTACTATCAAAAATACTTTTCGTGTAGCTACCCGACTGAACACGATTTCTTGATTCAATGTTGTTACTTTGTTGACTTATGTTGATGTAATGTTACTAATATGGATAGAATGTTACATCTATATTGACAGGATGAGACTGAAGTTGTCACTGTTGTAGTGAGGTTAGTATGTAGGGAAATTGCAACACCATTGAGACGTCAAGAAGTATCAATATACCATTACTGAAAACGTGAAGGAAGGAGCTTCCCACTCCTTGTCGCCGTTGACGTCAACGTTACGTTTCAAAATTCTCTGTGCTGGGGACGTTCATTAATGCTAAATTATCCTCGGACATCACGCGAATCTCCAGAGCTCTACGGCAGCGACACTCGGGCGATCTTTAAGATTAAGCAACGGCGGGCCAAATTAGCACTTGGATGGGATACAGCTTGATTACGACGGCGCGCCGCGGCGCGCAGGATTATGCAATTTTGGACTGTCCATTAATAGCCGTTCAAGTATTACGTAACGCACTTAGAGGGAGGGGAGTGGGAGGGGAGTGGGAGGGGAGTGGGAGGGGAGTGGGAGGGGAGTGGGAGGGGAGTGGGAGGGAAGTGGGAGGGGAGTATGTAGGAGATATCAATGATATCATCAGCTTGATAGACGGGCAATCGAGGAGATGTCGAGAAGTGTCAACCTGATAACAATGTTGATGGGGGCATATCAACAATATGTAAGATCATTGTAATATTAATTCAACCTTACTATCAGCGTTGTTGCAATGCTCATACAAGTCCCTGGCAGTAGCACATCAACATGGATGCAATCTTAGCATATTATTACTCAACTGGATCAAATATGGCTTCAACGTTGATGTGTAGAATGTGAAACATTATAGTAAGATTGTATTCAGGTTCTATGCTGAGTGGGGCGGTTGCATTGTACTGCCGTTTTTTAGTGACCCACGTAACCGCCAAAGGTGAAATTTTATTTTGTTCAAATATAATTGCAATTTTCCCCCAAAAAATTTCAACTTCAAATATAAATGAGAAAATACAATTGAGAGAGGGAAGATTTCAAATGGAATTCTAAAATATATTCAAGAAATTTTTAGTCCGCCTCTGACTGGAGGTCAAGAATATTGCTGAAATTGTAAACTTTTAAAGCAATTGGTATTCTGTACAATTTTGTCATTATTTTAGAGAACGTAAACATTTGAGTATCTGCTTGAATCATTGGTTTTTTTTCTTTGCAGGGCAAACTTTTCAGAATATGGGACGATATATGGGAGATATTGGGGAGATAGTCGTTCAGTCCATAAAAATTTTAAAAATGTTGGGTAATAAAACTGGCGCAAAAAAGTAACACTCATTCCAAGACAGACCCGAATTTTGAGGCCCTATAGAGTGCACTTTTTCTGCAATAAAATACATTTTTTTGTCAATGAAGAAATAAGATCATATCAAATTTTGAAAAAAAAAAAAAAACTTAAAATACTATCGCAAAAAGTTGTAGCACAAAAGTTGCAGTATTACCTATTCTAATACTATGCAAAATCTCTATTAAAAAATGCAACTTCGGTTTTAGATCTGAGAAGGATGGTAAAAGCGAGAGGCAAACATGAGGCGGAGAGATTCTTACCTGGAGCTCCTGGTCTTCCTTTGACGCCTTTAAGAGAATAGCCTCTGGGTCCTTGAGGACCAGGGTCCCCATCTGGCCCATATTCTCCAGGCGCTCCTTTTTGTCCTGGTCTTCCAGGTCGTCCAGGTCTCCCATCCATACCATCTCGCCCTGGTTCTCCTCGTTCAGCTCCAATACCCGGGAATCCTGAAAACATTCCATGTCTCTTCGTCAGCGATTGTTATTTTTCTGAAAATGTCTGTCAATCGTCACCAATGTCACCGGTAGAATTAAAATGATCGAATAAATCAAATGCTAAAGTGAGATATTCTGCCGCGGTATCTCTTTCTCGACTCTATATCCTTCAGTTCTCCAGTAGTAGTATCAGTAGTAGTAGTAGTAGTCAGTAGTAGTATCTTTCAGTTGTCGGCCTCCTATGGTGTAGTGGTTGTAGCGCTTGCTCTATGATCGGGAGGTCCCGGGTTCGATTCCCGGCCAGGCGACCCGAGTTTGATGGTCTCAAACAATGGTTGCCTGGGACTGGCTCAGTAGGGACGGAGGGGGGATGGGACTTAAAGCGTGGGATTAGCCCTTCAAGGCTATTTGAAGTGGTTAAAAAAAAAAAAAAAAAAAAAGTTGTTGAACCGTCAGTATTTCCTGCAAATATCGTTCAACTTTTGGCAAAGTTAGTTTGTGCTTGTCGGAACAATATTGGAGGTATATTTTTTCGCTTAACCTCATGCACTCGCAGCAAACCGTAGGAATAGGAGATAGTTTTTTTATGATAAAATCAAAACTTACCAGGTTCTCCGGGAGGACCATTATCTCCAATGAGCCCAATTGAACCTGGAGGTCCAGGCTCTCCTGCCTCTCCTTGTAGCCCATAATCACCTCTCATGCCCTGAAAAGAAAGATTTTATGAGTAATCGTACCAACATAAAGAATTTAGACACACTTAATGAGCTTACATGTCCTATGAAAGTTTACTAGGCATGGGCGTAAAAAAGGGGGCCTGCACCCCCTGGAATTGAAAATAGTATCATCTGCCACCCCCCCCCTCCCAGAGATTCTGGACGGAGGGGAAAAAACCCTCGCCGAGAGGATGATTATTTCCCTTAATGTAGAATTTTAAATGAAAACACAGTGTTCATTCAGTTAGTATTTTCTAAAATTTTCATCATCCAAGTCTCAAAATGCGTCCAAATAGAAATACAATTTCAACAATTTCCAATTGTTTTGAATGCAAAAATGCGAAAGTATTTTGTGCTGAAAGGAAAATTTGCCTTTATTTATTCTGCAGAAATTGATGGAAAATCTCCGTCAAGGAAGCCTTAAACTGTGTCCAAATATATTAAAATTTCAAAACTTCCCCGAACCCCCCTCTGCACTGGGGGGTATCCATACCCTCTAGACCCCCGGTGGTAGGGGGGCCGGATACCTACCTAAGCAAATACATTTGCCACTTTGTGCGGAGACTCAGACACTGCAGCCATGACAATCCTACCATGTGCAATTTGCTTTCTACCTGCCTGCGCATGGATTGTTTGACAAGATTTAAAGGTTGGCTTCCATTGTGCATGCGACCTCTTCATTACGGCCTAAACTATGAGAGCCTTTTTGGAGCTCAGGTATTCGTTTTAAGGGGAATCAATGTCATCATAGATTATACCGCCGAATTTCATCTAAGAGAATGTACTTAATTGGCAAGTTCCGGAAACCTGTAGGTAAGAGCACTAATATTTTCGCCTCTTCCTGAGGGTCTAAAGTTTTTCTGAGCCGAATGAAAGAGGATAAGGATGCTAGAAAATCGATAACCAAAAGGTCAAACCACACATCTCCATTGCGGTTATCCGATAGTTTTTTTTTTTTTTTTTTTTTTTTTTTTTTTTTTTTTTTTTTTTTTGGGAGCGAAACAAGTCATTTTCAAAGCTTGGAGTTTAGACAGAATAGTCTGCAAACAGGGAACAAATCAAGACAATTTTCAAGAATTTACATATATTGACTACTTTAGGAAAATTAAGTATGACAGGAAGTCTGCAACGTTGCAATTAGAGATATTATGTGGTTTTGCACTTCGCTCGATATGCACGAGACAAAGGTGCATCTTTTTCATCCACCATTCACACAATTTGCTCGTTTCGGCTCAAACAGCTGATATAAATTAAACTTCAAATCGAGAAAATCCAAGACTAAAGCAAGAAATCTAAAGAAAAGAAAAAATCGAGACAAAGAATTTAGATGCCTGAAATGATAAGTTCTCATCTCAATCAAATAAGCCATTCACTCATGCATGTTGAGGAATATTCTAAAATATGTATGATTTCCCTGTTTGAAATGATCAGTTGAGATCAATAGAGAAAATGAGCAGATATTAACTGATATTAATTAACCAATAGCAATCGATTCCAACTGATACTGGTTGAAATTCTACAGATATTTGATGTTTACACCGCTCAACATGGGTTCTCCTTCGAACCGAACCAATTTTTTTCGATGGGTGCTTAAGAAGTCCGAAAATGCCCATATTGACTTCAGGAAAATTGTCTGGTGCTCAGGGCGCCGCCATTTTGAATTTTCCAAAATTGAGGAAAGCCAAGATCAGATTTTTGCAAATATCTCCTGAACGGTTAATTCTACGAAAAAAACAAAAAAACAGCATAAAGAACGTACAGTTTCCTACCGAAATAATCCTCCTCTGTTTTTTCTAGCTTCATTTGTTGGTCGTAAAATTAACGTTTTCTTAAAAAAGGCGCATTTTTGCTGATTTTGGGATAAACATTGGTTCACATCAATAGCCACGATTATCTGAGAAAAAACTATTTAACTAATTGTAAAGACCGTAAAATTTAGGTACTTCCAGAGAACATATGTCTATAGTTTCAAAGCTTGATTTAGTCCTGTGAAACAGCGGTTTATTAGAGCCGCCTTCAAAATGTGATTTTGTCGACAATTTCCCTCTCAATCAAGAAAAATAAAGAAATAAAACCCAGAAACGTGGCGCGAATTGTGTAACAAGGTGGTAATACAGTGCTGGATCCACATTATTTTGGGGGAAAACAAAGCCAAAAAGTTTAAAAATTTTCAATTAAAGTCAAAAATTTTGAGCTCTGATAAGTACCAGTACAAAACTGAGGGGGAGAGTGTTCACTAGTGTTCAGCTCATGGCAGTAGGCATTGGAATATTAAGTTGAGGTCACGTCGGGAGATCTATAATTTTGGGCTTTTTTTCACTTTGGTGGCCTGATTGGTTTTTTGTTTTTTTCGTAGAATTAACCGTTGAGGAGATATTTGCAAAAATCTGATCGTGGGTTTCCTCAATTTTGGGAAATTCAAAATGGCGGCGCCCTGAGCACCAGAAAATTTTCCTGAAGTCAATATGGGCATTTTCGGACTTCTTTAGAACCCATCGAAAAAAATTGGTTTGGTTCGAAGGACAAAACCAAAACCCGAAATTTGTTGTACGGTCTTATCAGTTGGTACCAGTAGAGGTTGCACTGATACTACTTAGATTATATACTCAATAGTAAGTGGGTATGTGTTGAGCCTCAATAGGTATCAGTTGAAATTTGCTAAGTTGCTGATATATGAATCAGCTATTACAGAAAGGGCACAATCGACATTTTTTTCGAAATCGAGTTTTTTGCAGTTTTCGCATTAGTGTATGTGGACACATCCTGTAGTGCAGACAGGGCACTATATTCGCATTTTTTATGTGTTTTTGACAGGGGTTAAGTTCCTCACGTAGAGCAGAAAGGGCACTGTTGCAGCAATATAGTGCCGTTTCTGCAGTACATGCCTACTGGATGCGCGCGCATCGGCAGCGGCAACTCGTCGTTTGTTTTGTTTTGATACGATTGAGAGGTTAGTTTTGCGTTTCGAAACGACAGTGATCGCGCTACACGCTTCACTCACGCTGAAAATGAAAGGAGTGAGAATTGAACCTTGAGTGTAGGAAGTGAGAGGAGCCCTCAACAGGTTGGATGAGGAAGTAGGTAGAAGATTACTACGCTATTGAACTTCAAAGGATACTTTTTTTTTTTTTGACTTGAAATAAGCCAGAAATATTTTTATTAAAATTTACATAGCTGTGGGCAAACCACATGGTGAAAGTTCGAAATCGTATACCATCAATTGCGACATTGCCAATTGCGACGTCTTCTTTTTTTTGTTCTTAAGTATTCTCTATTGAAATTTTGTGTAAATTTTCTTCACACCATCAAGATTGTTTTCTGAAAATTTCATGGGAAAATCTCTATTAGTTCTCTTTAAAAAAATAGTATAAAAAGAGAGCAGAAATTTTGAAACGTTGCAATGGAGATATACAATTTCCAACTTTCGCTATAGACATGCATCATTGCCGTACATTTGAGATGAAAAACAAGGGCTAAAATAATTTTCTGGCTTCATTCTATCACTCTTTATGGCTCCTTCCCCCATGTATTACAGAAAGGGCACTAATGCTCTTCCTTCAAGTTTCATTATTTACAACCCAGAAAGAGTATCATGTAAAAAATTTTTATGGAAATTGTCAGTCTACTTGGGGGACAAAAGAAAACCTCGAAAAATTTTTTTCCAAAAGCTTATAGTTTACTCAAATCAGTTTTTTTCATTTTCTGAACAGTTAACATTTCTGCAATAGTGCCCTTTCTGCAATATGTGATTCATATGGTATTCGTTGATGTATGGTACCAGCCGATACCAAGTATTATTTCAGATCCGTTGATTCTTCTAACTGCTACCACTTATCAGTTCGGATCAGTTGATGATATCAACCGACCCGATCTTTATTGATGTCTACGGATGCTCCGCACCAAAACACCGTAGACGAACTGATACACTGCCTACTGATCATTTTTAACAGGGAGTTGAATATATATTTAAAATGAGCCCAAACAAGCTTATCAGTAAAAGATTGGCTCTACAGCTTAAGTCTCAAAAGGAAACCATTTCATAAAATTGTTTGTTTCGGATAATTTTTTCCAAAACTGAAGAATATACCTTAGGACCAATTAGGCCGGGAAGTCCTGGAAGACCAGGGAAGCCAGGTTGCCCTTTTAATCCAACATGCCCTGGCTCACCAATTTCTCCTTTCACGGCGGGAGCGAAGCCCGGAACGCCTCTTTCTCCCTGCGTTCCTTTAGGGCCCATTGGTCCGGGAGGCCCGCTTGCACCTACGTGTCCTGTATCACCAGGAGGACCTTCAAACATGGAGAGGACACACACATAGGTTTTGAAAAACACTAACTTTTCAGACATTTAACACACATTGGATATGAGGACAGGTTATTAAAAAAGTACATCGAAACTACTAATTTTTGAAAAATATAATTGAAGATTCTAGAAGTTTGAACATCCTTGAGGGCTTAAAAAAAGAGCATTGAAACTAGAATTTCACACAAACTCTCTTTTATTTCTCTCTGACCTGGAGCATGGACTTGACGATCTGCGAAACTGATATAACACCTACCATGAAGTCGGTCCATATTGGTGCTCTGTCAATGAAATGTAACGTGGGTATGAGATGTAGCGGGCGGTTAAGACGCAATTCGTGTCTGTTGGGTTAGGTACTCGTTCTATTATACAGGGTACTCCACGCCACCCGTACCAGGCCTTTTTCTCGGTTGATTAAGGTTGTACGACGTCGGAGACCGCGAGGTGGAATAATGAATTTACCCCAAGGAATCCGAATTTCATGATCCCGAAACACTCCAGGCACCCTCGGGGGCTAAAGGGGAGGTCACGACCCCAAAAGTCGAGGTCCCCGATAGAATTGCAATTCGATTGCATTAAAATCATAAAGTACGACAAATTCCACGTGAAATTGACCCCTAAAAATCCAAAATCGAACCATACGCCTAAAAATGATCCCTTAAAGAGGGGGACAGCCAGCGGGCCCCTCCATAATTTCCCTTTGGTCAAAAATTGACATAAATTTTCTTGAAAAGGATAGCTTTCCAAGTAATAGACCCCAAGAAATCCGATTTTCGTGGTCCCGCAGCCCCCGTAGCCTTCCTTGGGGAATAAAAAGGGGGGTACCATTTCCCCCGATTTTGGAAATGGTGCCTCCTCCATTTACCCCGTCCCCCCAAGGGAGACTAGGGGGGCTTCGAGACCATGAAAATCGGATTCCTTGGGGTCGATTACCTGGGAAGCCACATTTTTTGGAGAATCTACGTCAATTTTTGACCAAAGAGATATTAAGGAAGGGGCCACTCCACTGTCCCCCTCTTTAAGGGATCATTTTTGGGCGTAAAGAGGTTCGATTTTGGATTTTTAGGGGTCAATTTCACGTGGAATTTTTCGTATTTTTCGATTTTAATGCAATCAAATCGCAATTCTATCAGGAACCTCATCTTTTGAGGTCGTGTCCTCCCCTTTATCCCCCAAGAGTTGCGGGATGGGGGGGGGGGGTGCGGGACCGTGAAATTCGGATTCCGGGGGGTCGATTCCCTACACAACCCCGCGGTTCCCTTTTTCGTACGACCTAAATGAACCGAGAAAAAGGCCTGGTAAGAGTGATCTGGGACACGCTGTACGAGATACTTACATACAGAGAAGCAAACATACAGAGAAACATACAGGGTGACCAAAAAGTCCCCTCTACCCCCTCTAAAATTTTACCTAATTCTTACTTTTAAACGAAACTCAGAGGGTGTTCATAGTTCCATGTTAGCTACTTTTGGGGCCCCTCAAAATTTTCGGGCCCCCGTGGGGAGGGGCTACTGTCCCCAACTTTTTTTGAACAAATGGCAGCCCCCCCCCCTTTGTGCCACATTAATCGATAGAGGTTAAGAAAAGACGATTTTTGCCACAAACCGCAAACCGCAAGTCAAAATCTTAATTTTTGACAAATTGGCGGCCGGCCAAAATTCAAATTAACGGAAATTTGACATCTTCGTTTTTGATGACGGATTGGGACGAAAACTGGTATCCGGTAGTTTTTCGGGACGCGCGAGAAAAATGATTTTGGCATTAGTTTTCCGGATAGTTCTGTCCTCCTCAAAATGGCATCTGTCAAAATGGCGACCTAGAGCGGCAAGAGAATATTTAGGCTGTTTATCGGTGGATTTGCATGAAACTTGGTAATCGCAGGTGTTTTGGCATGAGAAAAACGAATCTTTCATTGGATTTTTGGAATTCTGAATTTTCAAAATGGCGCCGAAAAAATTGCGGAAACTTGCAGTGGCGTGGCGTTCTTTGCGACATTTCGATTGATTTGCCAAATCTATTGAAAACAATCGATTATCAAGGTGTTCACTGCGGACACCTTGATAATCGAGTCTTTACTGCAGCTTCACATGGAGAAATATCGATAATCGATCATTCAAGCCACGCCACTGGAAACTTGATATTACGGACATTTACGGTAAATTTCGCATGTAACTCAGGCTCCTGTTGGTTCCTGGTTCGAGGAAAATGACTCTGTTGCTTCACATTTTTGAAATGTTAAATACTTTCGAAATGGCGGCCAAGTTTCATGCGAATTCAACCTTAAATGTCTGTAATACCAAGTTTCGGCAATTTTTTCGTAGCCATTTTGAAGTTATACAGAATTTCAAACATTCAATGAAAAATTCGTTTTTCTCATGCCGAAATACCCCCGAATACCAAGTTTCATGCAAATTCTGTGATAAACAGCCTAAATATTCCCTCTAGCAGGCCGTCATTTTGAGAAGGACAGAAGTTTCCGGAACCAATGCTAGAATCGGTTTTCTTGTCCCAAAAAACTACCAGATACCAGTTTTCGTACCAATCCGTCATCAAAAACGGATATGTCAAATTTCCATCAATTTGAAGTTTGACCGGCCGCCATTTTGTCAAAAATTACGATTTTTCTTTCAGTTTGCGCCAAAAATTGTATTTTCTTATCCTATATCGATTAATGTCTCACAAGAGGGGGTTGATATTTGAAAAACAAGTTGGGGACGCGGCAGCCCCTCCCGATGGGGGGGGGGCAAAAATTTTGGTGGGCCTCAAAAGTAGCTAACATTGATCGATGAGCATCCCCAAAGTTTCGTTCCAAAATACGAGGGGCGTTCAATAAGTAAGTATCCCCCCTCTCTAAAATCCATTAGAATGGACCAATTTTAAAAAACTTGGGCTCAAAATCTTCCTTAGGATATTTTGAGTTCAACAAAACAAACCGCAACAAAATCGGACCATGTCCGGCCGAACGCGAGCCGTTTGAACGCGCCGAAGTGCTCGACGCTCCCGCCGAATCCGCGAGGATTTAAAGTCTGCTACAGGAGAAGAGCTTCTCTGCCAAAGCCTCAGTCGTTCATCACTGACGAAAAATCAAAGACATTTTTGTAGAATAAGGGGCTTACCTCACTTCTCCACATAACCAGCTCGATCCAAGCAAGTCTGATACTGAGACTAAGAGAACAGCTTGTGGATGCCTCGCGCGTGGAAGTCTTTCAGCTGACCGGGGATGAAAGAGTGGACGGCTTGTTTGACCTCTTTCCCTGATTCAACATTAACTCCTCCAAGTTCAGATTTCAGGAACGGGAATAAATGGTGGTCTGGTTTGCCATTTATTATCGTATCTGAAATCTGAACTCGGAGGAGTTAATGTTGAATCAGGGAAAGAGGTCAAACAAGCCGTCCACTCTTTCATCCCCGGTCAGCTGAAAGACTTCCACGCGCGAGGCATCCACAAGCTGTTCTCTTAGTCTCAGTATCAGACTTGCTTGGATCGAGCTGGTTATGTGGAGAAGTGAGGTAAGCCCCTTATTCTACAAAAATGTCTTTGATTTTTCGTCAGTGATGAACGACTGAGGCTTTGGCAGAGAAGCTCTTCTCCTGTAGCAGACTTTAAATCCTCGCGGATTCGGCGGGAGCGTCGAGCACTTCGGCACGTTCAAACAGCTCGCGTTCGGCCGGACATGGTCCGATTTTGTTGCGGTTTGTTTTGTTGAACTCAAAATATCCTAAGGAAGATTTTGAGCCCAAGTTTTTTAAAATTGATCCATTCTAATGGATTTTAGAGAGGGGGGATACTTACTTATTGAACGCCCCTCGTATTAATTAATTAAGTAAAATTTTTGAGGGGGCGGAAGGGACTTTTGGGACACCCTATATACGGTTTCTTTCAGAGCACATTAGTTAGAAGTCCTTAAGCTTTCAAATTGGGGCATTTTTTCAACAGGGTATTTTACCAACACTGTCATTTCTATCGATTTGTGCCATATATGAGGCTTTTGCAAAACTGATGGACGCACCTATTTAAATTAGCGTACGAACCTGGTCTTCCAATTTCACCAGGATCTCCTTCCATTCCTGTTTCACCATTTGGTCCACGTGGACCAGGTGGGCCTGTTCGTCCTCTCATCCCGTCTAGACCAATCAATCCGCTTCTACCTGCTTCTCCCGCAAAGCCTTTCGGTCCCTTCTCTCCCATGAATCCTTTCACACCTGGTAAACCGAAATCTCCCGGAAGTCCCTGTAATTACACGGCAAAAGAGCGCATACGATGACATCAGACAGAGAAATCACTTTGCCAGATTTAAAAACTTACTATTTCAGTTGTAACATCACCTATAATATACTTGAGATATTATCCATGATAAAGATGATGCGTATACCGGGTGTCCGTAAAGTAACTGAAAAGTGTGTATAATTTTTGAACAAAAAAAGATAGAAGGTTGCGGTTTGTGGAATTCTTCATCATTGAAAGGGGGAAATTTTTTGATGGGGGGATTTTTCTTGGTGGACCCCAGGGGGGCCAACTTTCAAAAGTCAAATAGCAACTCCCATTTTTTTAGACATGGTTAGAAAGAACTTGAAAAGACAAGGAGAATGGCGAAAACAAAATTAAAATCGGTTCACTCGATCGAAAGTTAGAGCCGGTCAAAATTTTAAATTGACCACTTTTCAAAAAATCGCTGTTGAGCTCCAAATTATCGAAAAAACAAAAACAAACCAGGTATGAAAAGTTTGAAAAGTGCCTTTTAGGAAACGGAAAAACAACTGACGTTGTCACAAGTTCGGATGGCATTGTTTCAAAATAAAATTTTGGAAAATTCAACGTGGCGGCAAATTTGAGGAAACGCGAAAAATGAAAATTCCAGAAACAGTTATCTTTCAAATACCCTCTAGTTAAAGGAAATCAAAGGTATCACCTTTAATTCCTTTATTTGGCCAAGTAAGAGCAATAATTTGCTGACTTTAAAATTGTCAAGCGGGGCGCCTTCAATCGTTGGAGTATGCAACATCACACGATTATGTGCTGTCAAAAAATGAAGCCGATGTGAAAAAGCGCTCCTCCTTTGGGATGCTTCCGAAATTTTCAAGGTCCTCTTCCAAAGCAGCAAAAGTAAGCACTATTAAAGAAAACCAATTAATATTTTACAACCTCATTCGTCAAATGACTAGATACCAAGTTTAAAACAAATAAAAGTCCGGTGGAAAGTGGAAACAGTAGTTTTACTGTAAATCGAGAATAATCTGATAATTGCAAACTAAATCAGAATTCGTATGATCAAGGGAACTTAGCATACTGATTTCAGCTTCGTAAACAGTGTCACCGATCAGGTAGTGCATCAGATGTTACCTAAAAGATCGTTGCCTCAAATCGGGAGTTTGAGACTGTCAATAAGATAATCTCAACTCAGATAATAATCAAGAGTAGAACGGCGTTTTCGGAATTGAAAGCGCAGCAGGTATCCTCCTTGCCAATTAGGAGTGCCAGAAGTTAGAGAATAAAATTATTCTTGGATTTTTAATTTTCAGAGAGAGAAATGTCAGAAACGTCAACCGCCTCTACCCCATCAGAATAAACCATGTTTTTTTGGCTCGCCAAGTTTATGGGTAGAATTTGCTCAATTTTTCTTTTCTTTATTTTATCGTTCAATTTGAGGAGCAAGACCTTGAAAATTTCTGACGCATCCCAAAGGAGGAGCGCTTTTTCACATCGGCTTCATTTTTTGACAGCACATAATCGTGTGATGTTGCATACTCCAACGATTGAAGGCGCCCCGCTTGACAATTTTAAAGTCAGCAAATTATTGCTCTTACTTGGCCAAATAAAGGAATTAAAGGTGATACCTTTGATTTCCTTTAACTAGAGGGTATTTGAAAGATAACTGTTTCTGGAATTTTCATTTTTCGCGTTTCCTCAAATTTGCCGCCACGTTGAATTTTCCAAAATTTTATTTTGAAACAATGCCATCCGAACTTGTGACAACGTCAGTTGTTTTTCCGTTTCCTAAAAGGCACTTTTCAAACTTTTCATTCCTGGTTTGTTTTTGTTTTTTCGATAATTTGGAGCTCAACAGCGATTTTTTGAAAAGTGGTCAATTTAAAATTTTGACCGGCTCTAACTTTCGATCGAGTGAACCGATTTTAATTTTGTTTTCGCCATTCTCCTTGTCTTTTTAAGTTCTTTCTAACCATGTCTAAAAAAATGGGGGTTGCTATTTGACTTTTGAAAGTTGGCCCCCCTGGGGCCCCCCAGGGGGGTCCACCAAGAAAAATCCCCCCATCGAAAAATTTCCCCCTTTCAATGATGAAGAATGCCACAAACCGCAACCTTCTATCTTTTTTTGTTCAAAAATTATACACACTTTTCAGTTACTTTACGGACACCCGGTATGATTAATGGCGAGTATCCATGTATAGTTTATGTACAACAAGAGGTGTTATTGTTACTGCGAAAAATAGTTTCCTGTACTCGTCATACATTGCTTTGGTGACCACGTAAGATGGTCGAGGCACGGAATCTTCGTAAAGAAAGCTCTTCCCTCACTGGTATAGCACCTACCATCTCCGCCCGCGTGTTGTTTTTCCTTCATTTCTTCTCATTGCAATGTGCGTCGAATCGCGATTGCCCGGAGACTAGGACTGCACATCAAATCTGATTAAATTAGTTGCCCCCTTTACCGAAAATTGGAGAGTAGGCTAGAAATATCTCGGTGATTAACTGTCGTGGTCGGTGTAATGGATAACATTGCGAAGAAGAAATGATAATATCATCCCTTGAAAGCCAGGGGCCAGTAGTAAGAGTTCAAGGCGCCATTCCAAAGGGGTGGGGATGGGACTGGCCTTCAGCATGAAGCTGGATGAGGCTTCCTTTGAACTTTGATCTTTCTTTTTTTCTATATGCTGTTTTTAAAAAGCTAGTAAGGACTTTTATCACCGCAATTACATGTTGTGTGTTAGTGACTTTTGTTGCCTCTAAAGCATCACACATAAAAACAGTAGTTAAAAAATTAATTGGTAATGTTTGATGTGTATAGTTTTTTTTTTTTTTTTAAATTGGTAAATCCCTCAAATCTCCGATAAATGCAGACTTGCGAAAGATAAGTCAACTGCGAATCATTTTGATGGATTGGTAAAACAATATTAAAATAAAAAAATACATTTTACCCTCTCTACGTCAGGATCCTTACTAAAGATCTTCAGTGAGGTAGATTCAGCTCAGCTGTAGTTCGAATCTGAAAACATTTACCGCGTCGCACTGCTAAAATCCGGCTCAAAAATGATTTATTCTTTTGATATCACCAGGTTGATTGAATTCTAAGGCTCATAAGTTCTGGCAGCATATGTCTACAACTTTTAAGACCAAATGCGAGCTTTGAAAGTTCAATGACAGAGGCTAAATCTTGATCACAGTTTCTCTTATGGGATGCCTATAGGTAAGTTCAAGAAAGATGATAGAGAGACATCTACAATTGCTGAGAGAGATCAATCGTGATTGGTCGCGTCAAGGTAATTTTGCTGAACGCCTCTTATTTCTGGGATCAAGTTACCAGAGCCGGATTTATGGGGGGCCCATGGTGCCATGCCACCGGGCGGCAAATTTTAGGAGGCGGCAAATTTCGGAATTTTTAGTTTGTTTTAATAGAAAAAAAGGAGTTTATGTTTCATGTTCTCCTTTTACGTATCAAAATCCTCGTTCCTTGAAGAATCATTTCCCCCTCCTTAAATGTTTGTTTACAACGCTTTCCTGCACAGATACGCATCCTTCGGATTGCGCTTTTGTCGTGTTTCCGAAACTTATGTTTCGTGCGCATCGGCATCGCGTGAGTCTATAGGAAATTAAATTGATCAAGATAAAGATATTATATTATTGATCCAATATAAAATCCCAAGCCGGGAAGAAATAAATCCCAAAATTTCGCTAAAAATATCCCTGAATCCCCAGATTTGCTCAAATATCCCCAAAAAGTCCCTAGATACTGCAAAAAAACAGTCATTTTCAACGTAGAATAATGACCTCATTCGATGTGCCGATTTGCAATATTTAAATCTGACTATGGCTTGTTTGAATTTTGCCGCACTATGAAAGCGTTGAACAGACCATTAAAATGAAAGAATATTAGTTGCGGAGTTTTATTTATTTTTTTTAGTATATCGAGTGACACTATCGTTATAATGTTCCAGTCTACTATCGGGGAAAAATAGTGTTGCGCCAATAAGGCCTACAAAATATAGATGAAAAATACTTTCTCTTGAGTCGTCGGTAAAATTGAGGGTAAAAGAGTCGATTTTTATTTACTTTTATCTCATCAAAAAAATCCCTAGATATCGAATCACAGTACGTCATATATGGGGGACGTCAGCGCGGTGAACGGAGATGGCTGCCTTTTGTGTAGCTCCGGTAATTTGGTTGTAATTTCGTGTTTTTTTGGTGAAATTTTTTGTAAAAAGTGGCCGAAGTGTTCGTGACGGGCAGATCTACGATTTTTTACTTGGATTCAACGTCAGGTTGTACCTTTCCGTTTTATTTTTGGTCTTTAAATATTGAGCTGGCCCGTCGGCCATTTTGCGTGGCTTGCCACGTAGTTTTTAGTGCAGGATTTTTCATTTTTTTG